CCTGGGTAGAAGTTTGAAGACGGCTTCTGGGTTGTTGAGCGGTGTGGTCTGGAAGAAGTTTACCGACGTTTCGAAGGCCCTTGCTGCCTCCATCATCAGGGCGATAAATGTTACCACACGGTGCTACAACCCAGAAATCATTAATCTTAATGCACACCGCCGTAAGAATCTCACATCTTACGTCATTCTAGAAGGCTAAATGATACCACAGTAAATATGTTGGACACTGCCCATTGTCTGAGGTACTTAAAACCTAGTACTGGATAAAAATGACTTTTCAGGAGTTGGCCCTACTCTTGTGTTGTCGCTGGTGATAAACATGAAGTTGAACAGTCAGGGAACTGTTTATGAAATTTCCTTCCGCCTAATTCAAATAATCACAACTTATTGACTATCACATAAATTACTCTATTCCTGGACTCATAGCCTGTTACGGACCGGGGAGAGATCGGATTGGAGTCGGTCCCACGGCCCGCAGTCTGGAAAATGTCGAAGACATAAATACAATCTACCGTATCGGAATCCGTGAATACGGAGTCAACTGGAATGCTGTAATGGACCTGCAGGGCTCATGGACTGCGATTAGCAGAACAAACAACGTAAATTATCGCCATTAATTAGAACGCAACATTTAACACGCTCGGAATTGCTAACATTTGCCGGTGGAGATTAAATACACATCGGGGATTTTAACACGCGTGCCTGTTTGGCCACGAAGACACGTGCGTGCTCTCTTCACTTCTAGATCCCTTTTTCTGGGTACAGATACACACGGCCTCTGATTCACTAGCCTGCAGGAGAGTTATCGTACGACGCACCAATGCCAAGTGCAATGAAAGCACAGACTCCGTCATTCATCCACAAGCCCGTGAATTGTCCCACATCCAACTGCAAGAAATATGTACACGATGAATTGGAAAATATGTACAGGAAGCGGCCGTGTCCGATTTTAAGATAATACACCAGAATCACACCTATATATCGACTGCATTTTACACACCTGGCCATCACATTTATTATTTCTTAATCGTTTTTTTGCTACCGTTTTAATCGACAGTTAAAATATTTTAAATTAATTATTCGGTTTTGTCCGTCTAATCACAATTATATTTAAAATTTAAAATTTACAAATAAGATAATTAAATTATCATTTTATGTTCCACATCGAATAATATTTAAACATGTGGAACATAAAATGATAATTTAATTATCTTATTTGTAAATTTTAAATTTTAAATATAATTGTGATTAGACGGACAAAACCGAATAATTAATTTAATATTTGATTCACAATATGACGCAATTATACTATCTTATAAAAAATTTTCTTTTATTAAATATGTTAGATCCGATAGGTCTCCTAGCGACGAAAATCAGAACACGGGAAGATATTCGCTCAGAGAGGGCAGGGCACAAAAATGCGGACATAACTTTATAATCCGAATGTAATTAGAAACTAAGTTTTATGCTCCATAACCCTTTGAAGCACGTTCATCTAAACTCTAAATAATATCATGAAGTCCATTCCTCGTCTCCACTACACAGATCAACTGCTTAAAGCCGTTCAATGAAATATTTGCTGTTTATTCCGATAGTCGTGTGTAAGAATTAGTTGCTATTGTATTTTAGGTTAGGTTAAACAGCGGGGCTACTGTGATCGACCTAGCAAAGTCCTAACAAAAAATACACAATTTTCAATAAAACTAGTTTTAAGCCCTCAAGCTGTTCCACAATAGGAACATCCACTTGGTAATTCAATTCCACCTTTTTCGGATAAAAAGTGATAGGGGAAACACGGTTCCGTAGAATTAGACGTAAATACGTCTATACGGAAAGGAAGTTTATATATTGGCTTTATTCTAAATATTTCCTTTATACCCGCTTTACAACTGAGTAAAGTTTGATTAAGACTTTGCTTATTTAACTTGAATTAGTTACGCTTAAGATGGGTCTGTGGTAGCTGAATGTAATGTAAGTTAATGTAAGGTAATGTATTATTATTTAGTGTTCTGTCTGACGACAGGTCCATATGAACAGGATCCTTCCATCCTTTTCTCGGACTGGGACCTGTTCATATACGTTCTTGGCAGATGATCCAGAAGTGCTTTGCCATTGCCTTCTTCTGTGTGTGAATAGAGTAATTGTTGGGATGCCACGGAGAAAAACTCCGTGTTGCCTAGCCCACGGCCTTACCCAACATACAGTGCTCAAATACTTAATTCAGGGGTCAAGCACGCTTCGTTTTGGCTATTTTATAGTTCTTAGCGATCGGTTGACCTCCACATCTGAAGTTTCTTCTGTTGGGTCATTCCAAATCACACTCTAAGCGCTCCATATCAAATATGGCTAAACGGTTCGGATTTGGTTCAAGACGACTGCGGAGTGCTCGTGACCAAGAAGTCCTAAAAGGATTGTGTTCTTCATCCGTCAGTTCGCGAAGCAGCCGTGAGCACAATTCGCACAGAGAGCCTGTTTCTTCATACAGAAGACACTCTAAAAACCAAGAAAGCAATAGAGTAGGTGCGCCATTGCCACTTGTTGCCATTAGCACAGCGACTGCTGGTTAGGTGTCTGGACCATAAGTGGCGTTCTTAATTTCGCTCCATCTTTGCTTACAATTGTCGACTCATTGTGAACCCGGTTTTCCACTTTTCGCACCGACTGCCTCGTCTGTGTTCAGAGGCATTTCACTTCTATAACAGATTGTGCCGAAGCTACGGCATATCTCACACTAAAATCAGTACGAAGTCACACTAATGGCACTAATGGCAACCATGGACACTGCTGTGCTGTGCTGTACCAAGTATCTCAGATGCTGTCAGACTCACTTGTCCCTGAACATGGTTTTCCACTCTGGTACGGCGAGGAAAGCAACCTCCATCACCCACTGATCTATTTTCACTGATATATGTCTATGCGTTTTCCTTTTCCTCAACACCCGACCTTGCTATAAGGTTAGGGCAACTTCACCGGACATCTGTGCAACGAAATAGGCTACGACATCGCGGAAGACACGATGACTCTTCAGCGTCAGTCGCGGTGTTAAGAACGCCATAATTAAGATTCGTGTTAATGGCCTTAGAGTAATCTTAAGGAAGAAGAAATCCCGAATGAAGTGCGCTCTATTCTTCAGCTGACACACGGGGTCACGCATTGCACTTATCAGAGACAACTGTGACGTCACTGTATGGAATTCGAAACATTAATTGCCACAAATGCAAAGCAGACAAAGCTACCACTCAAGTGTGAGTTGGAACTAAACGAGGAATATGGAAGGAGTCGTCACACTTTCATAATCGCTTTAAAAATTTCCAGTTTTCACAGCGAGTAGGAAACGCGATGAGTTCTTTCTTAGGCAGCGTAAAAGGAACCGTATCTGTGCGGCCGATAGTCCGAGAACACCTAGCAAGATTTTCACACCAACTGTAAGTTTATGCCTGCTGATCGTGCCGAATTTAATGGCTAACTTGGTTATTGGTGGTATTTAACCGTAGAACTCTCCAACCAGAGTTTGTTAGTTTAACACTATTATGAAAGATATTAATATTTCTACTCCCACACACTATTCTGAGATTCTGTGTCAGGTGGTTATGATGTGGCTCCATCCACAGTAGCTGTCATATTAAATATTATGACGCCGTGTGGACTTACGGCCAAATATTACCGCTTCGGAAAATATTCTACCTCCATATTTAGCCCTGAAGATGTAGGAAGTGTGTTCCTCTAGAACACTGCCATCTACCTCAAAGTTCCCATCCCAGAAGACCACCATCAACATCTTTACCGCTATAAGAACCTCAAATATCCGTCTCTTTTATGTTTAAACGAAAGTTTTGAAACGCCTAATACGACAAATAAAACTTACGATGCGCAATTACACAAAAAATGACATATTACGAAGAAGTATTCAAAAGAGAAATATGCGTGTTCACACCCCTTCTGAAATGTCAAGATTTCTTTAAAAACTTGAAAATATAGTCTAGTTCTGATAATAAAATAGTGAATCAACACATACATCAACTTGAGATGTTAATTTATTAAAAACCTACGTTAACAAAATACAATTAAAATTGATTTTTATTACAGAAAATTGGAACATTTGTCTAAATCGGACGTCAGATGGATGACTGTTTTCTTGTTGATCAAGCACTTAGGAATCCGGGATTAGCAGTCGGTAAAGTGGCTTTCTATCGGATGCAGGGCAGAAATTCGATTCCCGGAAGTAAATCAGTTTTGTCCATCTCATTCAGAACGGATCTGAGGTCCGAGACGCGAGATTCATCTCCATCAAGCAACCAATTCCCCATCCTCCTAGCCTGTTACCACTTCATTGGTCCGATAAAACAAAACTTCGTTTATTTTATGTACATGACAGAACAAATCTGAATCGCTTTCAGGATGTCTGTGTTTGGAATACCAAATGACACAAATGTCGTCACCCATCGAACAAGCACATGCGCCAGACCACAGCAAACGACAGTCCAACATCATGCTACTATCAGCAGCCAGTGACATCATTTCCAAAAGAACAGTATCACTAAAATTCTTGTCTGGAACTGTTCGTCACAGAATACGCCATTCTCTGTTGTCGTTACACAATATTAGACAAGTCCAGAATCTATTAAAGGCATTTCTATTACTTCTCCGCAGACGTACCTGGAGGAATGGTTTACGACAGCCACCGACTATTCTTGAAAAACGTCTATTTTTATGGTCAATGTTATATTTTTCATACTGACATTTCCTTCGGTCAATCAGAACAATATCACGTGGTTTTCGTAAACAAATGGCAGATCTATTCACTATCACGTACACTCCTTCCTAATCAAGTCATTGTCATGACATTACGAAAGACTTTATATTAAGATTACAATAAACTCAAACTGCGTTCAGATGTTATTGACATCTGTCAAAAATGACAACACCTTACACAGACCAACCTCTTTACAGCAATCAACAGTTGGTTGCTTTTGACACACAACGAAAATGTTTCGACGTACCTTGGGCAAAACGTCCGGGCGCCACGCAGAGGCATATCAGCACCAGAAACAGTAGAACGTAATGCTGGAAATTCAGAGATGCGCCTAAAAACGTCATTGCAGCGAGAGGTGACTTCACACGTGTTCACATGCTGAGCTCTAGCAGATGACTGAACATAAGCAGCAACTCGTAGAACTCGCTTGGGCCGGTTAGTTTGCCAAGAACTTCCCGTCTTCGTCGTGCACATGTTCCGTCTCACTTCTT